GGGAGAAGAATGATCTCTGGGACGAATTTCACAGGGAGATTGGTCATTAGCACTATTTGGACTTTGGTAGCTTGGTGACGATTTGGTCAAATAAGGTTCCTTCTTAGTATCCAAGTCAGCCCGAGTGTTTGGAAAATTAATACGGGAAAAACGTTGGCGGCCTGATGAGAATATATAATTTTTGTCTTTTGGCTGATCTTGATCACAAAGGTGCATAGATGGCGAGGTAGAAAGAGGCGAATGAGGAGAATAAGAAGACAAACGAGAGGAGGCGGAAATGCCAGATGAAGATGAAGGTGAAGATGAGGAGAAACAGGGGTTATCGAAAGAAGAAGGATGATTGTAGGTAGAAAAACCTGTTTGTGAAGTAGGATATTGCGGTTCCCAAGGAAAAGCAGACCTATCGTTAAGTAGCCACTCGTGATGCCAAGTGTTAAAACGAGAATAGCGTGGCCGGGGACCGTCTAGAATCAATGAAACAAAAAGGTAATAAACCAATATGAACGAGAGGCAAGAAATACAGGATGAACAGACAAGAAATGAGCAAAATAGCATACATTGCGGGCTCCTCATTAAATTATCTGAGGCCTACTAGTTAAAAGAAGGCATGAGTTTTGATTAGATGGTATCAGAGAAACAAAATAAGACAAGAAACTCTCGATGTATAGAAGTAGTCAGGTTGCCTAGTTGCAAAATAAGTTCAGACAACCTCTATAGATCGAAAAAAGATGGCGACTAGAGAAGAGGACACAATATCTTGGTCTTCATATTCAGGAGTAAGAAACTTTCAGGCCTAATAATTCCATGTGTTTGAACCAAGATATACTCTAACAAAACAAATGTGCGTCCTGTATGCTTAATATTGGCTCAAGCAGCCTGATTCTGAGCTTTATTATAGAGAAAATGAAGATTAGGTCTGCGCATGAGACTGAATAACAGTGTTGCATCATCTTGACCACCTGCCGCAGAAAGGTTTTTGTAAAGTCGAAATTGGCGATTCCTCAACTTGTAATCCCTAAGTATGGAGAAAGATCGTACTCTATTCCTATCTCATAAATAGATCTGAATGCCACAAATTGTTAGCGATCAAATGTTCATATAGGTGTGGAATAACTCGAAAAAGGATATTTGTTGATTATTTATTATTCAAATGCCTTTTGCATAAATATAAGCTAAAAGAAAGAAGCAACGAGCTAGCTATAGAATAT